TCTCCCTGGTAAGAAAACAGAAAAGTAGGCCCATCCTGGGGCAGGGCAATGGGGCTGGCAGCCCGGGGTCAGCGTTGGGGACCGGAAGGAAGGCCTGGACTCGGAGGGCAGCGGCCCAGCGCAGCCCCGCGCCGGCCGGCCACGGGCTCGCCCAGCATCCGCGAGGCCTCAGCCGGAATGGCGCTGTGGCTCAAGTGGTAGAGCGCTAGCCTTGAGCCAGGAGAGCTCAAATCCACCAGCCAGATAGATCCGAGGACCATCTCCAGTTAGCTGGCAAAAAGCTGAAAGTGAAGGTGTGGTTCGAGTGGCCGAGGACCAGCATTGAGCACAAAAGCCAGGAGGGAGCCGGGCTGAGATCTGAGCAGCGAGGTTCAAAACCAGCCTGGGCAGGAGAGGCCGTGGGACTCTTCTCTACAATGAACCACATGAAAACTGCAAGTGGAGCTGTGGCTCAAAGTGGTACAGCGCTCACCTGGAGCTGAAGAGCTCAGGGACAGTGCTCAGGCCCTGAGTTCAAGCCCCAGGGCTTATGGGGGGAGAAGGGGAATTGATTCACTGGAAAATAATTATTCTGCATATTATAAAACCAATACAAATTCAAACGCATCCAACAAACATCTTGTACAAAGGAAAGGGGGAAAAAAAAAGAAGCCCTAAGAACTAGAATAAACACCAAGTCAATGTGTGCTTTATCTCTTGCCCAGAGAGCATTTTCTAGACTTCCTGAAAGGAGAGAATGCACACCATACAAGGGCAAACCCTGGCCCATGGAGAAAGAAAGTGAGAAAAGTAAATCACCGAGAAAAACGGCTTCCATGAAAATACCACCCAGGTTAAAAGCCCAAGATAGGAAGGCTCCTAGAAGTCTTCAAGGCATGTAAGACACCAGTGGATGGGCAGGTCTGGAGGAAGCCCTGGCCTCCATCTTCCCAGACATGGGAACACACACACACACACCAGCATCCAGGCGCACACCACAGTGTTTGAACCCTTTTCTGATATAGGCACCAAGTCTGTGGCAGGCAACACCTGGAGAAAACAGCTGACTCCTGGGTCACCAGCCAGAAATGGCCATCCCTCACATCCCTCTTCTTTGTTTTTATGTCATTCCTGGGGCTTGAACTCCAGGCCTGAGCACTGTCTCTGAGCTCTTCTGTTCACTTGAACCACAGCGTCACTTTGGGCTTTGGGGTCGTTTCTTGGAGATAACACTCTCACAGACTTCAAACCACAATCCTCAGAGCTCAGCCTCCTGAGTAGCTAGGATTACAAGCATGAGCTACAACACTTGGCCTGCTTGGAGCTTTTGATAGACAGTTTCTCTGCTCCCCTGTCCCCTCCTGGAGGCATTTCAAAAAGCCTGTCACTGGCCGTCCTGTTCCCCCCCCCCCATACACACACACCCTGTCCTCCCTCCCCACACAGACACCCCGGCCTGCCTGTCACTGACCATCCTGTGTCCCCTGCCCAAGGCCATAGGCAGCAGTGTCAGAGTGCAGAGCCCTGAATCCAGGCCTGCCCCATCCCCACTCTGTCTTTGGGAGGGGGGGATTAAGAGAGGATGAAGAAGGAGGCGGCAGTGGGGAGCAGGGTGTCAGCTCAGCCAGGCCCCCGTCCTGTCCTCTGCCCACCCTGGCCTCCGCTGGCCCAGAGGCCACACCAGGCTGGAGTCCCCGGCTGGATGGACCTCGTTTGGGGGAAAGCCATTAAATTACTTCTGTGGAAACATTTTCATTGAGAGAGATTGGTTTCTGATTGTAATAACTGCTCATTAATGGCGTGGGCGGGGCGTCCTCGCAGCCGGAGCCTGCTCTTGGTTTAATTAGGAGGAAAATGTGCTTTTTTTTTTTTTTGCCATGAGGCTGGTTTTTGCTGATTTTTTCTTTGGTCGGTTGTGGGGCTTGAACTCTGGGCCTGGGCGCTGTCCCTCAGCTCTTCAGCTCAAGGCTAGCGCTCTACCACTTGAGCCACAGCGCCACTTCTGGTTTTCTGATGCTTTATTGGAGAGAAGAGTCACACAGACTTTTTTTGAAATAGTCTCACTTCCTGTTTGAGTACACACGTAAGCCTCGGTTTACCTATTTTGGGCTTCCCATGCTCACCTGCTTCCATTGAAACGGAGTGTCGTGGATTTTTCCACTGGGCTGGCCTTGCACTACAATCCTTCCGATTTCAGCCTCCATTGTAGTGGGATTACAGGCGTGAGCCACCTGCACCAAGCGATGATGTCTTAGATCTGAATCCTG